ACATAGACAGACCTGGGTTTAAATGCCAAGTTGTGTCACTTTGGCCATTGTTACTAAACTCACGAGCCATGATGAGGATAATATTGCCTGTCTCATAGAGTCATGAGAAGATGAAATGAAATAATGAAAGTATCTTGCACAATAGAGCACCTCATATCCCTTTACTGTCTCTGTGCTTTCGGTATTGCCTCAGTCTAACTCTACCCTAGCCAGAGTGATCTCTGTACTCCAACTGTCCCTCTCCTACTTAAAGTGGTGGCTCCCTTTTGTTTTTAGGTTTAAATTTCAAAATGCTTGTGCAAGGCTTTTTGTGATCTTGTCCCTGCTGCCTACCTTTCCAGCTTTATCTCTTCTTATTCCTATGATACTCTAGCCATACTGAACCTTGAGATAGGCCATCGTCTCATGTAATCCTTCTGCCTGGAATGCCCTTCCCTTCCTTTTCAAATGGCACAGTCTCCCTGCTCTCATATCACACACACACACACAAAATAAAACTTTATAAAATTGTTCCTGAAATGCCTTTCTCTCCACTCTCCCTTCTCCATAAGCTGTACAGTGTTTATTTGTGATATGTTCTGAAACAAGATGCACAAAGTGAAATGCAAAGAAAACCCATTTTACATTTTTCAAGAATCAAAATACAACCATTTAAACAGCACCCAGTGAAGTAAGATCATCAAGCATAATTGGGAATGTGGGCTACGTTGTGACAAAACAACCCTAAGAAGCGCCCATCGTAAAGTCTACCTTTTGATCTTTCCCAGAAGGACATCAAACACACAGTAAGGATGGGTAATATTTGAACCATGTGCCATTTATACTTGGAATCATCTGTGAAGAAATTGACTCATAGGAGGCCCATTCAGTACAAAAAGAAGTAAAGCAAAATCAGGCATTTGACTATCTACGAAGCAAGAACTTCTCTATCCTATTTAGTCTGCGTAACAGTGTAAAAGAGCGTGACTGGCTGTGCACAGTGGTGAATGCTTTTAGTCTTTTCCAGAAAGCCCAGCAGAATAAGGGCAAGTGGGGAAGCAGGGAATACTTGCATGGCTCGCTCCCTCTCTTTATTCAAATCTTTCCTCATGTGTTTCCTCCTCAGAGCAGCCTTTCCTGCCTACCCTATCTAAATTAGTACCTCCCATCCACTTTATCCCCTTCCATTGCTTCGTTTTTCCTAGCAGCACTTAATTCCAGACAACTGTATCTCAGATACTTGTTCACTGTCTCTGCTTAACTGGAAGGGAACTAACTGAGGACGCTGACACACGGAGAGTTTAATTGCCTCACCACTATATCCTCAGAACCTAGAGCAGTGCCTGGCACACAATAGGAACTCAGTAAATGTCTGCTGAGCAATTAAAATCAGTTAGAGGATACACAC